CTTAATGCCAAGAACTCAAAGCCTTTTAGAATAACGATAATTGCAGAAAAAATAAAGCTAACTCCTGCATGCAGTCTTGCATCTTACCAGCAATGTCGCAGAGTTCAGCATCAGAAGCATTTGCCAAGGCTTCCTCCAATTCTGGTTCCAGAGTTACACTTTCCAAAACTGGATCAATAGCTTTCTGCTTGGGGACCCAAATTTTTCCTATAAATACATGAAGCAGTAACCGCTTCAGTTCCATTCCAGCAGGTTGGCAGTTAAATACATTTTAGTCTAATAGTTAAAGCACCAGGCTAAAAACTGGGAGACTGTGAGTTCTAGTCCTGCCTCATGAACTCCTGCCTTTCATGCCTCATGAAAGCCAGCTGGGTGACTTTGGGCAGGTCAGCCTCAGCCCAACTCACCTCCCAGGGTTGTTGTTGTGGATGGGAATAATAGAAAGAAGAAGGTGTGTTGAATATGTTCACCACTTTGAATTATTTGTAAATAGATACAAATAAATAAACAAAACAATACATTTTATTCTCCTACTTAAGGTGGTTCTTTCATAGTTCCTAACTTTTCAAGACTCTAAAAGGAAGGGAGAGAGGCATTGGCACTGAAACTCTGTTGTATGAAAAGGGGAAGTTAAACTCTCCCCTTAAAGATTAAAATCATCCTCCCTATCTACCAATAACTCACAGGAAAATAAAATAGAAAAGAATTCTTTATTGGCCAAGTGTGATTGTGCATACACTTGGCATTTGTTTCTGTTGCATAAGCTCTGAATATACATACAAGCAACAAGTGATCATCATAATCTTAAACTACAAACATCATAAATCATAGATACAACATTCAGTGACAGTCATAGGATACGAAATAAAGGCCTTACTGTGTAAGTGTATCAGGTTTCAAGATTCACAGTGTGATTGCTAACCTCACAATTAAAGTAATAGAGGCTGGATTTTGTGTAATTCCACATCAGTTTATGTTAATGCAAAATCATTTTTAATAGCATCCTACTCCTAAGGCTGCCTAACTGTGACTAGTATTCATTTTAAAACAGCAATGGCTTGGAACATGCCTCCCAGGGCCTGCCACCTTCAGTGATATCCCAGGCCTTTCTCCAAATTCTCATTCACTGTGGGATGTGCTCATTCAGGCTTGGCCCTTTGAAAAGGAAACCAAATTCCTTCCTATATTTTCACACACACTTTTAAAAATAAAGCTCTATTTGTTTTACTTATGGTAAAGCTAAAGGACATTTTTCCACTTGCAACTTACAGCAATCTCAACACCAATTCAACCATTTTGTGCCCAAATAACAGTAACAAAGAAAGGCTTAATGTCACTTCAATGAGTAATGAATGAGACTCTGAAGGTGCTTTAAGTTACTGCTATGGAAATGGCCAAAATTTATTTCCAGTAGTGCTTGACTGCAGATGAATACATGTTCATGTAGTTCTCCTTAGCAACAATGTAAAAAGGGTTTGCAATTGCTTTTTCTGAATATTTTTTTCACTTTCTGCTCTAGTCTTGGATTCCCTGCAGTATTAGCCAACCTAGCCATGTGTAACTATGATGCCCAGAGAGGTGCTATAGGAAACACACAAAAAAGTTAGCTTAATAAGTTGCAAAATTAGTGAGAAGTTAGTGTTGGTGTTGGTGATTGGTTCTTTAATTTTTTAAAAAAAATCTCAGAACAAAGGAAATGTGTGTATGGAATGGTGAAAATGCCATCTTTACTCTAGAGGGAGGATAAAGATTAAGAAGGGACAAAATTAGAATACTTTTGTATTTCTTTTGCCAATTTCTTTCTTGGAAAAAAGGACAAAGTCTGGTTTAAGGTTTTTTTTCTTTTTCTCGAATAGAAACCAAGAAAGTAAGATAGAAGATAGAACAAACATAAGGAAAGGGTTCCTTTTTTTATAGGATGGTGCAGTCAAATGGAGGTGGGGGATGTGGGGGAGAAGAGTGCTGCTCCAGGCGTGGAATGTGACACTGGAGCTATTTTTGTTGCTGCTTCCTATGAAATGGCATGAAACAAAGGACAAGGACTGGGCAGTCCAAGACTAAATTTAGGCTCACACTGAAGCAACTGCTCCTTTTCTCATGAGGGTAGAGGAACAGAAGGCCAAAGTTATAGAAGAAGGGCTTGCTTTTAGGGGTATTAGCCATACAATCACTACTCTATTCCTTGGAAGTAGATTTTATTTTAAAGTAAAAGGCAATGTGAACATAAAATACAATTTAAACTGCTATGGGAGTAGGGTCTATGACAACTAGCCACAACTAACACATAGGGGACAACTTGCCATGCCCAACTTGCTGCGGCCAACTCACCAGAAGACAATTCACTATGGCCAACCTGCCACTACTATATAATAGTGAAGAAATGGTGGGAAGAATCATTAAAGAAAAGATGCAAAAGGAGGGACAAAATGAAATGTGAACAGCAAAAATTAAAAGTTTTTAATTATTTTAAATAATCAAAATTGTTGAATTGTCCCGTCATAAGTTGGCCATGGCAAGTTGGCTGTGGCGAATTGGCAGCAGTGAGTTGGCTACAGCAAGTTGGCCAGAGCGAGTTGTCCCATTCTGGTTTTAGGATGTACTTAAAAATAACTTTAAGTTTATCAGCATGAGAAGCATAGTACAAACTGCACTCTAGATCAGGGGTCTCCAACCTTGGCAACTTTAAGCCTGGCAGACTTCAACTCCCAGAATTCCCCAGCCAGGAATTCTGGGAGTTGAAGTCCACCAGGCTTAAAGTTGAAGACCCCTGCTCTAGATGGTTCACGGCACCTGCAGAATTGTGATAGTTAATCTCCTACCTCTTTTCTCTCCCGTGAAGGGAACCAGATCATCTCGGTCTTTAGTGTCATTTGCCTGCTTCTCCAAATGTGCCTGAAGAACATCCCTGTTAAAAGGGCCTGTGGGGTTTTTCTTGGTCTGATCTTTCTGTCTCATTCCTGCAGGTAATATTGCATTCTATATTTTGGAGAAAGGAGAAAAAAGATACAAGCTGCATGATCATCACCCATCACAATTCATCTTTTTTTAATGAAATCCCACTGAACCCCTACATGCTAGCAGTGTCTAGCTAATGAGTAGGAGTAGCACTCACAAAATCATAAAATATGTGAAGAAAAGTATTTTTGTTCAATCAACCACCAAGTTAACAACGTTTAAGATACTTATAGAGAGAACAATAGCAAAAATTAAGGAAAACAAACCAAAAGTAAATAGCATAAGATAAGAGAAGAAACCAATAGAATAATCCTCTATGGGCTCAACTAACCTGCCATCCTCCATACCCTGGGAAACCAGCCAAGGCTTGAGGGCTTCCCAAAACTCCAGTAGAGTCAGGGCCAAACTAATCTGAAGTATATGGTGGTCCAAAGAGTAAGGGCTATAATAGACAAGGCACATTTCCTGGATCCTGCCAAGAGAACATTCTATAAGCAATGGGACCAGGACCATGCCCCTTCTGCCAAACCTGATGGGCCAGCTGGAGCCCACTGCAAACAAAAAGCCTCTCAGATAAACCAGCACAGAGAGACAGAAAGGTGGCCTTGAAGCAAATATTCAGAAGTGGTTCAAAAAATTTTTTGGTCCAAGGACAAAAACATTCCTTAAGTCCTGAGAACAAAGATACCATTAAGAAGAAACTTCTAGGTAAAGACAACCAGGTCCATACCTGAAAGTTCCAAATTACTGATATATTGCTGAAGCTTATGCACAGGAAAATGATCAGACTAATAATGTGTACCTGGGTGAAACTAGGTAAGGATCAAAGCCATTCAAGGGTGGTTAGAGTTTGTCCTCTTATGACTATGTAACAAACTTAAAACTGATGTCTCACTTGACTCCTCCCTCTGGCTCTGCCATTGTGTGTGTGTGTGTGTGTGTGTCTCCTACAGAAACTCAGGATGATGACATTTAGGGAAAGGGAGAAAAAGCAGTCAGACTTGCAAGATTCCATTACTATAGCCTACCCCAATAAAGAACAATTCTATAGTTCCCGTGGAATTGATTTTCTAGTCTGATCTTGTGGAAATGTCCTTGAGCAACTAAAGAAAAACTTGCAGCCTAAATAGCAGTTTGACAAATGAAAGTTTGAGGAGGAGAA